CCCTCCCCCGTGCCCCCGGCAGCATCTCACTGACACCACTACCTCCCACACCCACAGTCCCTGCCTCAGCCCTAAGCATGGCCCCCTTTCTCACAGCCCCTGGGGCCGGGAAGACCTGGCTGAAACCAGTGAGCCACCGGTGGCTTTTAAACAGCCCGTTCACATAAAGAGGCTGAAGTGGAGGGTGGGGGGAGAGGAAGCGCTCAACCCAGAGGTGCTGGGACTTCGGGGGCCTGTGCCCAACCCCCTTCCTTCTGTGGGAAGCTAGAGGCTGGACTGGGGAAGAGAGCCAAGGGCTAAATGGGGCTGAAAACAGGAGGAAAGGGGCCCGATGTGCCCCAAGTTCTGTTCATTCTCATCAGTTCCTTTAGGTCCGGGCATCGAGAGAGCCTCCACCCCCAGGCTGGATGCTGCTGGTCTCTCGCACAGGCCAGTGAGTGGGAGGAAAGGGGTCATGAGCCAGGAGGCCCAAAAAGAGGCAACATCCCAGAAGCAAATGCCCAAACGCAGGCAAGATGAGCTCACCAGGGAGTGAATGTGGAAAACGAGCGAGGCTGGAGGCCCAGAGATGTCGTGGCTGGTGGCTGCAGACCCAACAGAGGAGACTGGAAGGCACAGCAGTAAAGCAGGGGGACACGAGGTAGTGTCCCTGAGCAGTGTGTTATGAGAGCGTCATCGCCCAGAGGCAGCCCAGCGGTCACACTGAGACCTTGAACCTCCCTAACCAGCTGTGTGACCTTGAGCAAGTCCCCTCCCCGCTCCCTGAACCTCAGTTTCCTATCTGTCAAACAGGGGTGGTGATAGCACCTTCCCCATCGGCCGTGCGGGGATTCGCTCAGCTCCATGCCTGGCACATAGTGAGCGCTCAAGAACTGTGGGGCTGCAGCTATCAGCACCTGGGGACTCCTGCCCAGGTTCTGAGGCCACAGGCTCAGGTGCAATCCTGGTACCAGCCAGTTAGCTTCATGGAAAGAAAATCTGGCCCCTGCTGGAGCCAAGAATCCAGACCTCTCCCACCCCAACCTCACCACAACCAGCCCACTTCTTCCGTCCTTGGTCACTAGCGCAGAGCCTCCCACAGTGTGGGGTGGGCTGGGACTTTACGTGGTAAGCAGACACCCTGTAAAATAACCGAATCACAAAGTGGGAACACTAACCCTTTCCAGTCCCCGTCTAGCTCTCTGGTTACTCATGAGACAGTCTCGTGTGGATGCTACTTTGACTTAACATCCGTCTAACACTTAAAGAGGAAGCAGCCTCGGCTCAGCCACTCCGACCAGCCGAGCTGGACTCAGTGACGCTGCTGGTTCTGCATCCTCGTGGAAGCAGTGTTTGATCACCTCGTATTTATGGCAAAGATATTGATTTTCCATTTCTAGAGGAGACAAGTTTTCTTCCTAAACAAATTCATGGAAGTAAAGAGATAAATGAGGTGATTTAAAGACAATGCTAAGTACACATGAATGAAGTGCTTGAAGAGTGTGGGGGAGGGGGGGAGAGTAAGACAGATCCCAAGGTGATTCCTTTGGCCTGAAGTTTGGGACACGTTCCTTTACAAGAACCCAGAGAGAGAGTGGGGCTGGCCCATGGCAGGTCTTCCTACAGCTAAAGAACCAAGCCAGGGCCAGAGCTACCTGAGACTCCAGAATGTTCTCCAATGAGCACAGATAGGGGAGAGAGAGCAAGCCTGCAGCCAAGTCCTTCTGCCCGCCCTCCTGGTGATGGCCAGCTGGGCCTCATTGCTGGGATGGGACCGACAAGCTGCTCCAGGTGACTGCTGACAGGGGGATAGCCTTCCAGCCTCAGCCAATTCCCTATTCACCCCGTGACCCACCAGGTACCGCCCCCTCATCCTGCAAGAGCCTTTTCCACCTGAGGCTACACCAAGATGAGCCTGGAGAGCACAGTCAGGGCCTCCCTCGGGGCCTGGGACCTAATTCTTTGGGGCTCAGGCCTGGTCAGTCTAAACCCCCATCCCTCGGGTGGACAACAGGACTTGGGCATCGTGTGGCCTGGGTGACAAAAGCAGGTACTCCACTTCTAGACACAGCAGGGCCTCAAGCTAAGAGCACCTACCCCATTCGCAAGTAATTAGGAAGCACCTACTGTGTGCGGCGGAGATCCAAACCAACCCAGACACACCTGGTCCTCATGAGCTTACATCCCAGTGAGGAAACAGAGAAGGAACAAAGTCAGCAAATAAACCAGGGGACCAGCCAGAGAGCAGCGGGGTGGGGGAGCCAGGTAGGCCTGCACGGGTCCGCAGGGCCTCGGGGAGAAGTGCTCGGTGAGCTGAAAAAGTCAGGCAGGGGAAGATCTAGGGGAAACACGCCAGCCAGAGAGAACAGCAAGTGCAAAGACCCTGGCAGGGAAGGCAGGCTGGTGCCTTCAAGGAACCACCAGAAGAGCCACGTGGCTGGTGAGGGGGATAGGGGACGGGACAGGTGAAGTGGGAGAGGTTGGCTGGGTGGGATTCCGAGGCCAAGCCCTGACATGGGTCTTCTCTTTATCTTAACAGCAATGGGGAGCCACTGAAGGGTCTGAGGCAAGGAGATGACCTGAACATTTTTCTTAATTACTCTGACTCCTCTGCAGAAAACGGGTGGGAGTAGGTCTGGAGTGGAAGCAGGGGGAGCCAGCAGAAGACTGTCAAGGGCTCCCAGCTAAGAAGCGACGATGGCTTGGATTAGGAAGGTGGCACTGGAGATGGCACATGTTTAAAAGACAGCACCCACAGGTCCCGCGAATGAGTCCCACGAGCGGAGGGAAACAAGTTATCCCTCCGTTTCTGCCTGTGGCGCCATGACGGTGCCATGTGCCATCAAAGGGAAGACCCCGGGAGGCGCAGGTGGGAGAGCTGGGACACCCCACTCTGCACCTGTCACCTTCCAGAAGCCTGCCTCGCGTCCTGATGAAGCTACCTTTGGACAGTCCGGCACTGAGTCTGGAGTTCAGAAGAATGATGGGTGGGGGCTGGGAACGGCCGCTTGGAAGTTGCCAGCAAGCGTCTGTGTTAAGCGAGCGGTGGGTGCCCTGTAGGCACCCAACGGCTGCTCGCGGCTGTCAGCCCGCCAGCCCGGGTCTCCCTGCGCACCCCGGGTACCTGCAGCGTCTCCGAGGCCGGGCCCGCCGCCGCCGCCGCCGCGCCGCTGGAGAGGGAGGCCACCTGCAGGGCCTGCTTGCGCGCGGCCAGCAGGATCCTGCAGTAGGTGAAGCAGATGGCGCCCGAGGGCAGGAAGAAGGTGAGGCCCGACGCCACGAGGACGAAGGGCAGGCTGGCCAGCAGGCGGCACTGGTCCGGGGCGGGGGCCCGCGCGGCGCCCCGCTCGTGCCAGCCCAGCAGCAGCGGCAGGAAGGAGGCGAGCGCGGCGAGGGTCCAGGCGCCCAGGACGAGCGCCAGGGCGCGCGCGGGCGTCATGCGCAGCTTGTAGCGCAGCGGCGACAGGATGAGCAGGTAGCGGTCCAGGCTGATGAGGCAGAGGTTGAGGATGGAGGCGCTGCAGCACATCACGTCGAAGGCGGCCCAGAGCAGGCAGAGGCCGCGCGCCAGCACCCAGCGCCCGTACAGCGCGTTCAGCATGGCCGGCGGCATCACCACCAGCCCCACCATCAGGTCGGACGCGAAGAGCGACACCAGGAAGAAGTTGGACGTGTTGCGCAGCGCGGGCTGCGTGCAGATGAGCGCGATGAGCAGCGAGTTGGCCGACGCGGTCAACGCGATGACCACGCACAGCGC